AAAAAACAAAATTAGCCATTATTTGTATTAAAAATGATCAGCGTGACACATTTGCTGCCAGTATTCTCAAGTTTACCCCAAATCAATGCAGGGGAATATTGTATTCAAGTTAGTGTGATTATCGAATGAATGAAATTCGTAGTGTTTATCGAATGTTCAATGAAATTAAGAAATTTTTGTAACTCTTTTCGCCTCGCCTCGAATCGAAAGCGCTACAAATGTCTTATAATCTTAATTATTATGAACTTTTCAGTTATGTCTGTATGATTCCATTCCCTTCATAAATTTAGCTACTACTCACACCTTTGCTGAATGACATAACGTAATAGTTGTTTTTTTTCGGAAATGTGGCAACACTTCAAGTTCCAGAATGTAATTATATAATATTGTTACGAAAATCCCAAATCCAGTTAACATCAGCTAAGTAATTTTCGTAATAATAAATTCCCTAAAGTAGGAAAACCCAAATGAGCATTCGCAGGCGCCTCATGAAGCTGCAGGCCGATGAAAACGATTAGCGGAAAAGCAAACAAGTAAAAGCTAAGTGCATATTCGCAGGCTCGTCATGCAGGTGCAGGCCGATGAAAACGATTAGAGGAAAAACCAGGCAGGGATTATAAATAAAATCATAAATAGCATATTTGTGAAAAGTAGAGTTAGTCTGGCAAGAACGTAGAAGTTGAGAGTACGGCCAAAATAAATTGTAAATAAATATTCCTAATGCTGTGAAAGACAAAGTGGTAAAATAAAAGAACTTTGAAGTGCATTTCTCTTAATCAAAATATCCACGATCTAGTGATACGGACTGTATCTTAGTAAAAGCGAATTTCATAACAATATCATATATTTGTTCTTATCGATTTCGTTTGACAATTTTTCAATTGCAAAAAATATTTTTTTCAATTTAAGTCAATTAGATTCGCTTCAGCAGTCGATAAAAATCATATTCAATCAAGTCAGCCTGTTCGAACTAATCGAATCTAATGCTCTATCCACCACTTAATCCTATTTCCTAAACTAACCTGATCATACTGAACGCAGCGTTTGAAACCTAAGTGTAGCAATACAACGATTTAGTGAATTTGATCTTGACAACACGTAAATAAAATATATATAAAATCTTTATTTCTCTTTGATCAACAACCACTATACCATTCCATCCATTGATATACCCACAATTAACAGAGCACTGTTTTCAGTGATGGACGATAACTAAATCTCATTCTTATTTAACTTTTGAAGTGCTTGAAATGCTGGCAAATCGTGTAAAACTAAGATTTCAAATGTACACGCTATACACACAAAGAAATAGTACCTTTAAAACGGATGATTAGATCTTTGTTCAATAGTGCAATCGACAGTCATGCGCAACTGACAGATAGTGAGAGAATCAGTTTAAATCGAATGCAAATACGTTGAGGTTTTGCTTTAATACTACGCTCTTCTGAAAGGAAGAACCCCATGTACTAAAGACAGGCTTACAGCAAGAGCAAGCCAAGGTTATGCGAATTTTTTCTCAATGTCATTTCAGATGTCCTTTAACTGTTTCCTTGATAATCCAATAAAAATTTGAATCTTTGCAAAAAAAGATCAACATTTGAATATTTATTGCGATGTCGTCAGCTTTGTCAAATTTTATTATAAATGACTATTAGACGATTTTTAATGGTAGGGCAATCTTACTTGCGTAACCTTAATTTTGCGAATAATAACCAATTAAAGTTTTATAGAAGACTGAGCAATATACTAAAGAAAAAAACTTGGGGTTTTTTTGTCGTTAAATTGCCTATTGACCCCTTTTGAGGGGGATTAGAACAATACTAGCGATAATAATAATAACAACAACAAATAAGAGCAAAACTACCAACAGCTTTTGCGGTAAGAAAAACTGCTTAAAAAAAATTGTAATTACTCGAGTTGTGGTGATATACGTATATATATATATATATGTATATAACACAAGAAGACCGATTATAAAACAACAAACTACTAAGCGAGGATAGGAGTGTAACGAGTGAGAGAACGGTCAGCTAAAATATCGTAACAACTCTTTACTCTACAATCAATAGCAAATGCTACCATTTCTTGAAGTGTTCGACCTATATTTTAGTACGAAGGCGTCCACATATACAATTGTGTCGATAAGAGTGTGTATGGGTGTGTGATTGTGTGGGTGTGTGGTTGTGTGGTTGTGGGTGTGTATGTGTGTGCGTGTGTGTGTATTTGTGTGAATTCTGTACTAAAAGAAAGCATTTGTTGTCTATCTATCTATCTATCTATCAAAAATTTAATTTTCTTTTACCATTAAATTGTAACTGTTTTCTCGTAGCTGAAAAATTTTATATTTTTCCCTTTAATTTTCATCGGTTCGTTACTTGTAATGTTGACTCGTCTTTCATTTGCTATGTTACGTCAAGTGAACGAGAGAGAGAAAAATATATTGTAATTACACATAGCCTCTGCTGGAAAGGATTTCAGTTATATTTATTAAAAAATGCTTTCTTTTACATACATTTACTCGTCACAGAAAACGTGCGTAGAATAAATTTGTCCTATTGTTTGGAACATTAGAAGATAATCCCACAAAAAATATTCTTATAAGGCGTAAGTTACGGCAGTTCACCTGGTTCAGTCTTATTGCGAAACGAATTCTTTTTTAAAGTTTTAACTGATACCCGTTAATGTTTATGAACCAAGGCTGCCTACAGATTGTGAATCCATGTTTTTAAACCAATAATTTCTACGAGTTGTACGTTGGGTTTTTTTCCTTTTTTTTTTTTTTTTTTGCTTATAGCGAACATGTTGTTTTGATCTGTAGACGGCGACTAAATTGCAGCTTCTTATCTCTATAACAACATACGGATCTTCACACCCTCTTACCCAAATCAACTATATAAAAACTTTTGTGACCCCGGTAGCAACCGCCTTTATCATATTGGTGACATCCACTGAGCGACTGGTAAAAAGTATAGAAAAACGACAAAAAAGCTTAAGTATACTTTACATGTGAAAGCTTATGGTTCGAAACACCGGGATAGAATATTCAAACTTAACACATATCATTGTTTAGACGAACCCTGTATTAAGTTGAAAACTTACCTTCATTTTATAAAATCATTGCAGACATTAAAATGGAATCATATAATTATATAATTCTTGGCGGACATTTCCCTAAAACTTAACAAGTACTTTGGTGATGGCCACCAAAAATTTCGATGAATATACATATGCATCAAAAGTAGATGAAAATCTCACAGCCTGTAAGAGATATTGAACTATTTAAATGACTAATTAGCAGGTCTGTACGAAAATCGTTTCAAACAATCCAACTAAAAGCCTATATTTGGTCAAATATTTCTAATGTGTTCGGTTGACTTATTGCATTGTAACACGGCGACCGATTCCCGCTGCGACCAAAACAGCTCTATTGTGCTCGCTCGTGCCCCTAGCCCTCCAGCTTTAGCATCTTTATAAAGCTCGTCTCTTTCTTAGGTTCAGAGTACTATACGATATTCGAAGTCATAAAGTCTTTGCCATACACCTGATATCTAATCCGGCAGACAGCAGCGCATTCGTACAGGATGTGACGGCTTGCACTTTGCTTCCAATGGCTTGCTGTGTCCATAGCGATACCAGTCTCAGTCCAGATTTGTCTAATATGGTCATATGGGCGGTAAAATGATCCAGTAGCTCAACACCAGGCTCATGAGTGAAATCCCTCAGCACATTCCAGTTTGTTTGCCACTACTTGGTAATCGAAGTGCGTTGAGGTAGGCCTCTCTCTCCCTCTCTCTCTCTCTCTCTCTGTCTCTATCGGCCTCTCTGCAGACTTATTTAAGGCAACCACTACTTTCTTGAGAATTAGATTTTAATTTTTTTTTTATTTATGTAAACAAAATGAAAAATGAAAATTTATCGCTATAAAGTTTATTGCCTTTAACAGGAATACTATCAGTAATGTTCCGCAACTAAAAATCTACAAATTCTTTTAATTGACTTTTCCCCTTCTCTTTTATGTTTTTATAAATAAAATTGATTTGTTTTTCGCCTTTTCAATGCTGAGTCATTTTACAAAGATAATGCTACTATTATTCTGTACTCTCTGGTATGCGCACAATAATATTGAAGTTTACTGAGGATATATATATATATTTATATACATACATATATATATATATAGAGAGCATTAAATGTGAATGCTCACATGTATAGGAATTCACGTGATCAAGACGTCTATATGCTGAAGTGTTTATGTGTGTGTGTGTGTGTGTTTGAAAATCTCGAGACTAAAGTGTATTAATAAAATATTGATTTGCGTTCTTATCAGAGAGATTTTTTGTTTTTAAGTCACTACCTCGTGAACAAGCATCAGCAGCAGCTAGACAGCAACAAACCATATTTTTCAAAACATATTTATAAAATTCTTATGAGTACAGTAAGCTTTAGTTGTTTGGTTTATAACGAATTTTGAATACATCCAAATTCAAAAGAATTTGAAATATACACACACTCACATCAATCTGATTATTAAAATTATATTATCTAAGCATTTTGTTCAAGTTTTATTCGCGAACAAAGGCATTCAACGATTTTAATGCAAAACATTGATCGATCTGATGCATTGAAATGTTGCATCAATGTTCTATGATATGAAGAATAATAAAACCAGCCATGTATTATATCGAGCGAGCATCCCGAGCTTAGTACGCAAGCTATGTCGGTTAATATTTCCTTTCTAGAATTAATTAATTTTTATTAATTTTCTTTAAATTAACTATAAATAAGTGTCAGCGCACACTTAGTACACACTGTCATATGAAAATTTTATTATTTATTAGCTCCATGCGTAGCCAACATCAATCTGTAAGTGTTATCAAATTGAAATACACTTTTTTAAAAAAAAAAAAAAAAAAAAAAAAACAATAACAATGTAAGCTGGATTTTGAAATAATTTCCCCCTATAAATACCATCACGGAATTATTTAAGAAGACAGTTTGGTATTAGAAATATAAATCGAAAGTAATCAAGTTTTATATTAAAATATTTATTTAAAATTAAAAAATTTTCTTTCGAGTATTTATCTATCTTAGCCATAGCACATAATAGACGTAGAGATGCTTATCAACTATAAATTTTATGCACAATTTTTCATTATGATTATTATTTTATATTGCTCTCATGGGTTGGGTGAGTGAATAAATTCTGAATTATTTTGTTGAAATGATTTAAGAAATTATGTCACTTTTTTCTTAGCAATTGATAAGTCAACGACTAATGATGATGAAGAACGCATGCATCCGTTGTTTAATTTCAAAGCGACACCACAATTAGCACGTTTGGAAAAACGTGCTTTGCCTATGTTAAAATTTGAATATTCGAAAAATCGCGAACTAGATTCCAATCATTGGCGGGAATTGGGTCAAAGTATATTAGAGAGACAATTGAAAAGTAAATCAACGTTGAACACTAACTTGGCTAAGAATGTGATCATGTTTTTGGGTGACGGTATGTCTATACCAACGTTGACCGCAGGACGGGTATATATGGGCGGGGAAGAGAAACAATTTTCCTTTGAAGAGTTTCCTTACATGGGCCTTAGCAAGGTAAAGAAATGCATTTGAGTTTAAGAAAAAACCGTTTTGTATATGAAATCGCTTTTAAACCGAAACTTCGCAGACTTATTGCGTTAATACTCAGGTGGCTGATTCGGCATGCACCGCCACCGCCTATTTGGCCGGTATTAAAGCTAATTATGCTACTATAGGATTAACAGCTGACGTATCACTCTATGACTGTGCCGGTCAAAACGATACAGCCCATCATGTCTCTTCTCTGGCGGCTTGGGCTCAAGCTCAAGGAATGGCTACTGGGCTTATTACTAATACACGCATAACACACGCCTCCCCTGCCGGAATTTTTGCTCATATCGCCAATCGAAATTGGGAGGATGATGAGCAGGTTTTAAAGGACAATGGTGATCCCAACGTTTGTCCCGACATAGCCCATCAAATGATTTATAGTGCGGTTGGCCAAAAATTAAATGTCATTTTGGGTGGTGGGCGTAAACATTTTCTACCAAAATTAAAAAATAACGGCAGTCGCTTAGATGGCCGCAATCTTATACAAGAGTGGAAATCGTTACACGGTTCGACAGCTCAGTACGTTGAAACTCGCGAAGAACTTTTCAATTTATCCAAGTCGACCGACAAGATTCTGGGTCTTTTTGCTATGGATCACTTACCGTATCATTTAGATAGTGACGCAACAGTTACCCCCTCTTTAGATGAAATGCTTCAAATAGCTTTGGATATATTGAACTCTCAGAGCCAGGGTAAAGGCTATTTCCTATTTGTGGAAGGTGGCCGCATAGATCATGCGCATCATGATTCTTTAGCCATGAAAGCGCTCGACGAAACAGTCGAATTCGACAAAGCCGTACAATTAGCACAATTGCAAACCAACACTGACGACACTTTAATAGTCGTCACGTCAGATCATTCGCATACGATGTCTGTAGCAGGATATTCCAGTCGTAAAAACGATATCGTTGGCATTAATAATAGTCAAATGGGTTTGGATGGTTTACCATATGCTACGCTAAGCTATGCCAATGGACCTGGTTACACCAATAACCTATTGACCCAGTCAACTGGTTTTCAACGTAAAAATCTTCAGCAAGTTAATATGGACGATAAAGACTATCAATTTCCCTCGGCCGTGCCTTTAGAATCAGAGACACACGGTGGCGATGACGTTGGCGTATTTGCCAAAGGACCTTTTGCTCATCTCTTCACCGGTGTTTATGAACAAAACTTTATACCACACGCTATAGCTTATGCCTCTTGCTTGGGATCTCAAAAGACCGCTTGTTCAGATGGTTTGCACTCGCGTAGATAATTAAAAATTTACAAACTATGCATGGTAGGGTAAATGCAAAATCGAAAGTACAAAGGACCTACCAGGATACTGTATGAATGCAGTAATTATTTCCTGAGCAGGGACAACAAAGCAATATTATTTATCTTAGCTTAGTTATATTAATTTTTATACCAATCAAATAGGATTATATTACATTTTAGAAACTCGTGTATATAGTTCAACAATAACTGAAAAATGTATCTGGATCGTTGAAGTTGATGCAAATGTTTAGTTTTATATTTAACTTCTTAATTAGGTTCCTTAATAAAAACTGTTGCTAAAGACCTGACAATCTTATGCCTTTAGCAACGATTAAACAATAAACATTCATCTTAGATTTACCGATACTTGACTTCTTCTTCTTCTTCCTTTTATCAGATTCTAAGAAAAAAAATTTGAAATGGAATAGATGAAGTAATCATTTTGAGCTAAAACTGAATAGATTTCCAGAGAATGGGAAATTTCTCAGTTATGCAATTTCGTTATTGAACAGCCGAAGTGCAAAAAAAAATTTAAGTTTTGTAGTTTGAAACCGCGGTCTTTTCGTTTTCTGATAAAGCGTTAAAAATAATTGGAATTATTTTGAAAATTGTTCGCACAAGCGAAAAATTAAAAACATATAGCAAATAGTAAATTATTTGCTCGTTTGCTCCTGCCAAAAGTGTGTGAAGATCTGACGTAGGTATGGAAATTTTTTTAGGTTATGTTTTCGTTTTTTAAAACTTTTGTTTTTCGGTATTCGTGCCTTTCTTCTTTCTTCAAAGTTATTTATTTACTGCGCTTTCTCTTTCCTTTACACAAGTATCTTTTTGCATTTCGCTGCCAATCTAAGTTTTGCTTTACTTCCCCTAGGTCTAAGGGACGAGAAGGGCAGACAAGACGAACACGAAAAGAATTACAATTGAAAAAAGGCTTTACAGCGAACATATAAGAAAAACGGTTCTGCTTAAATAACACTTTTTTTACCTATTTTTGTTGGTCTCATCGGAATTAACAACATTTTCTATACAAGTCTTCAAAGGAACACTTATTAAGCACATAGTACTTTAGAAAGATCTTTGCCTATCCAGATTTCATCTACTTGCAACTTGTCTACTTTTTCGAAATGTAGATATACTTATCTCTGTGAACCTAGGCATAGACATAGGCATAATACGGTCATAAACGAGTCCATTCTTGCAAGCGCCAAAAACCTTGGATCGTTCAATAAACTTAAATCAGATATACATAAAGTCACTTACTAAATGAAACCATATTTAGATCGAAATTTTTCACATCTCGAAAAAAGGTCTTGTCATACGATCTTGGGAATATCTCCAAAGAATTGCAAACTATTGCAAATGCGGGAAAATTTTCAATTTTGATCTTTATCAAGTTCCTCCAGTTTTGCGCTTGTGGTACTCTTGTTTAGTTTGGTCTGCTGTGTTGATTTAAAAAAAAAAAAAAAAAAAAAAAAACGCTAAAAATTGCAACATTTTATCTTCATTTTTACGACTCTTGAAAGCGTGTACGTGCATAAGTATATACACAGACTTTAAAGCGGAAATTTGTAAAGACGAAAATGTTTATAGCTAATCAAATTAATAAGATTATCTGGCAAAATATGCGAAACTCTATGCTATGTAGTAGTTAATAAATGCAAGCATTAAATTTGAAGCGGATACAAAAGCGACAGTAAATTTATAACATTACGGAGAAAACTGTGTGTGCGTTTGAAATTTTAGGTATTGAATGTTCACGTTCAACTGAATTTTTTTTATCACATTTCAAATATGTTCGCCTCTTTGTAACTTAAACAATCATTGGTTGCTTTATTTGATTCATTATACAACGTCCCCCTGAAAGCGTACAATTATGATATCACAATAAGATTCCAAGCCCATGTATTTATTCTACGTTTGGGATAATAAAATTGTTCGATCATAGAGAAAGCTTGAAAACGCTAGTCATGAATGCACTTGCAATTGCAGTGAATCGAACGGGAATATTAGTATGAAATTATGCCCAACTGTTTGCTAACGACAATTAAGATTTCAAGGAACGTAGAACTTTCTGGTATTAAATGTCCATCGAACTAATCCCTTACCCGCTGTTAACGTATACAAAGTTAATATTGCTACGAAATTTGCCTGACGTGATACCGTTCGTATCGCAAGATCGTGGTTTTATGTACAATCAATTTGTTAGGGTAGCATTATTTACAGTTTACTTAGTTTGACAGTAGCATTCTTAACTTAAACTTTCTTTTCGACTTAAATGTTCTTTTCCGACTAACTGCCTTCCGAAAATATTCTCTTAATATACATTTTCATAAGCAAATTACTAATTTTTGTTAAAAAAACTGAATGGCATTCAGTTTACACTCCATTGCGCCCCTCTGCTCTGACCAATTTGGCCCATTTTCAATACCAACCGGCGTACAAAAACTTCCAATGTTTGAAGTCGATATCTTTATTTGTGCGACAAGAAGAGTGCCAAAAACACACACCACACAGCCAAACAGACAGACAGACGGACATGGCTAAATCAATTCAGAATCTCATGCTGATCAACAAAATATATGTATTCTTTATAGACTCTCTGAAGCTTCCTTTTGGATTTTACATATATTTTGGGACAAAAAAAACAAAATGAGTATACCACCAATCTTACAGTTGCGGGTATAAAAATATGCATAAAATACCAGAATGAAATTCTGACAAAAAAGACAGCAGATGTGATTATGTTATATGCTTTCATAGGCAGCCAAAGACCTCGACGAAGTATAGCTTCAAGGCAAGGAGGCAAACAACAAAATATCTAAAAAAAAAAAAAAACAAAGCATCCAAAAAGTATCTTAGGATGGGCAGGAATTTTCAAATTTGATTTATGCCAAATAACTTTGACGTTTATTTTCGAAACTTTTATAATAAATAATTTCTATGCTTTAAAACTATTGAAAAATGGTTGTATGTTTTTCTTTCTTTTTTTTTTTTTTTGTTTTTTTTTTAACTCCCAGTAATGTATTATTATTTATGCGCGGAATAAAATATGAAAATAAAATTTCTTTTTGAGATTTCATTTATTGCTATTTTCCGTTGCTTCTTCATTTCCAAAAAGAGAAATTTACTAAAATAATATTTAATTTGATTTTCTTGCTTTTTAATTCTATTATTAAATCGCTCATCTTTAGTTTTAGCTATTTTTAAATAATTAATTGAGCAGTTTAAGAAAAGATGTATTATCTCTTATGATTATTTACAGTAAATGTCGGCCATAGCAAATATTATAATTGAAAAGGAATTAAAACTTTGAAAAAGTTTAATAAATCCTTTTAACCTAAAGGCTTCGATGAATATTTTAGTTTTAGTTGTGCCAAGGGAAAGCATTTGACGGCAAGAAATCTAAAGAGAATACTTACTTATTCGACATGTTTATCGGGAATGGTTCTTATCTACATATATAATTGAGGGGGGAATAATGCATAATGCACAACAGTGAAAATAAATAAATAGACAAGTGATAGATAAAATGAACAAACGTTTATTGCAATCCAATCAGAAACAAAGTGAAGAGCACCCATCAATTGTATGCATAATGGAATATAAAATCAAATACCGTATGGGCGATGAATAATTTAATGTCTGCAAACACGAATGGAGCAATTACTTTCATTTTAAAGAGCACAATAAAATTGCATCATGATTTTGTTTTTTTTTTTCGCCTTCTTTAGTAATTTGATAGTATACTGCCGCCGTGATCAATTTTAGGCGTATACAGCTTTTCATGCTAATCGCATTTTTGAGTGCGAACAAAAGGGAAAGGAAAGTTTATTGAATGTAAAGAGCTTGCAATTAATTTTACATTTCAAACAAATACTTTTTTTTGTGTTGTTTCCTCGAAAATGATATGTAGAGCAGCCACAGCAATTCATATACGTATCATAGATACGCGCTTATGAGTGACATAAAGCAGACATGGAAACAATTAAGATTAATGTAGAGTTTTTTAATTAATTTTTGTTTTAAGTTCCAAAAGATCTACGCTTGCATACTCGATGGAAGATGAGCACCTTTGGTTAGCAGAAATATCTTAAATGACAAACCTATGCGCGATATAATGAAACAGAAAGAATGAGGTTAGTCCGAAAGAATTCGGGGAGAGGGAAATAAAGAGGATACTCTTGAAAAATTACTATTTAGATTTGAAGAGGTTCGCTTAGCGATAAGCACATCTTCTAATTCTGATTATAAGATTTAAATTGTTGTTGTTTGGTAACCGCTTTAGCAAAAGTTCTTTACAATCTTCGAACAAAAGCTTAAGAATGTAGGATTGAAAAACAGCGATATATATATATATAGATCTGTCCAAACCACAAGTTATCTCGCTATGAACGACGGTGTCTAAGAAAAGAAAATTCGCTGAAAACTTCATGGGGGCCCAGATTAATTACCCTGCAACTGCAACGAGCGTCATCCCCACTACATAGTGCAAACCATAGGGCCTACTTTGAAAGGTACAAACTAAATCTTGATGAGTAAAGTATTACTTTATTTAATATTGACGAACACTTGGTATGCGGAAAACTTGCCAAGTTAAAGACTTTACAAAATGCATATGTTCTTCATAGTAAAATGAATGGATTTGAACCATCCACCATTATAATAACTTTAAAGCTGATTCTAGAAAAATTATCGAATTTCTTCTTTGCTTGTTTAACAATGAAAATGGGTTCCCGCACTACTTAGAAAGACAAAAAGCTAAAACGAAATTCAGAAAATTACGATCGGAGTCCGGTCAAATCATTCAATCAACTGCAAAGACATTGCTCTCATTTTTATCGCACTAGTCGCCGGAGGTTAAAACGCTTCAAATTGTGTAACATACTGTTAGCATAACGGGGCGTAAGCAATTAATCGACCACACATTTGGCAAGATTAGATCTGCAAGACTTCTAATGCTTCGCTGCGAAATGTACAACCAGTTCACCTTTCAAACAAACGCTTCTGTTAACCAAAGCCTGGAAATTCGACAAGCAACTCGCTCTAATCACTTTGTTGTTCACCAGTTTCGTACTTACACCAATAAACTCATGAGTTCTGATGGTAAAAATTTCGTAACTTTGCCGAAGATATTTATAAGAGTCTTGTAAGCATTTTTGAACCATAGTGTGCTGCCCATAGTCGAAAAAATCACATCGTTATGTCTGAGTATTTGCCTAAAAAACGACGGGAATATAAGATCGCCCCAAGGACGGACAGATATAAAACTGCCTTCTTACACGTTCAATTGAATTTTTAAATTTTTTTTTTCATTATTTGGAAGTAAAATGAAATAAATCA